ACTGTCTGTTTTCAGTATTTAGTATTCGACCAGAGTCTCAGTATGTGACATAGTTTTTAACATTTTGACCATATTTCGATGGAATTATGTAAATTTTAATTCCTACTCATGTACTTGGTTTATGTATATTTCTACTTAGGTAGCGTTTAAGATTGTCTGACATTGTTACAGGGCTAACAAGTGTGGATGTCATTGTAAGTGTGCAATCTTTCCATGAATCGAATGGCGGTGAAGTTTAAATGCAGTAAAGTTGTGAGTCGCTGCACAGATTTGGCCTATACGACGTTGCGGTAGGATGTCCCAAACATTTAGCACACTCCGTTCGAAGTACACGGCGTAGAAAACTCGTTTCATATCCGTCACCACCAACTTGTACCTGTGTCCGCGTGTGACGCATGGCCTTCGCAAGTCTAGTAGTGGCTTCAATATGGGAAATCCACTAAGTTGTCCAATGCGGTGGTTCACCATGAGAAGCCCTCGTAACCAACAATAGGGCAAGCTTTAGAGTTCTCTTTTCCCGCACCGGTCTTCGTACGGCAACCATCACAAACTCAGTATGAGCATGGTAGTAACGTGCTGGACCCGTTCAATCTTCTGTGCCTCGCCGCAAGCGTTTGGACATCGGGCTTAAGAGCCTTACCTTAGCATTGGTCGAGTAGAAATATCTTCAGACCAAGTATAGAAACTACTTTTGAGCGCCTAAAGCATGCGCATTCTGTTACGACATAGCCTGTTCATATTATCCACGGGCTTCAACTCTCAGTAGTAGATCAGACCTAGGTCCTTCACGGAAGGCGTGTGAAGTAGCGGTTGGCCGTCGAAAGTGGAAGTTTGGCTGCCATCACTCTTCACCAGGCTCTTGAATACTAACTTCGTTGGCTTGACCGCCAGACCGGCATGTGTAAGCCACATGGAGGGGCAGGTGAGGTCTTGCTGAAGTAGGCCAACGTCATCGGGTGTGCGAATAACTCTCCTGATCTTCTGGTTACGTGCAAACTGGGCACACGGCAACCGAAGAAGCTGAGATACATTTATGATGTGGATTAGGGACAGAGTGGGCCTCAGCAGTGTACCTTGGAGTATACCGCTAGTTGGGCGATACCAATCAGTCAGATGGTTGTTGACCTGTGCTTTCTGTTTTCTTCCAACGAGTAACTCTCGGATCCTCTGATGTAGTGACCCCCCAACAAAGCACACTCTTAGTTTGTGGGGAATGACTTTATGGTTAACATTATCGAGTGCTTCATGAAAATCTATGTAGATCACATTGACCGATTTCCCACGATCCACTGCCTGCAACTGTTAAGCAAGTTTGCCCATAGCAGTCTTTGAAGCTGGCCCCTCTCGCTAGCAACCTGAGGCAGTGTGATCATGACGCAGCCTGAAGCTTATTAGCCAGTAAATAAGAGCAGACCGATGAGAGCGCTTCATCTTGAGGGTTACCAATGTGAATGATCTAGTTGTAGACCACCAGTGAGCGCATTATTTCGGGAACCAACAAGTGCATTCTCAGGCATTTAGTAGTCGATGCAATCTGGGAAATTCCAGCTTGGCCATTCTCTTACTACTTGTTTGGTTGACACGTTATTTGCTTGTATATACTGCTTGCCGGGAGTTCAAGGGAGGATTTTACCAGGGGCCTTTGTCTTCTGATCTGGGAAGTCTGCCAATTCCGATTGCGCAACTGTAGCACCTTATTCGTACGATCAGCGGAAACCACAACTCCACCATTCCTGCCTCGTCACCAGCAGGTTGGTAATATATGATCGACCAAGCATGAAATGGTGCCGTACGGACGTAAACAGAGCCTTTAACTGGAGCAGGTGTACTAGACCAAATGTTACGATCATCTCGGCAATCTTGGTCAACTAAAATGTCGGACAAATTGGCCTGCAGTTGTTCTCCTTACTGAGGTTACTGCCTTTCAGAATCGGCTTTACTACGGAGCATTTCCAGTCGCACAGCAATGAACCTTTGAATAGTGAATTTTTGAACGAGTCGGTCACAGCATGTGAGAAGATGGCCAAAAATGATTTAAGGACCCATGTGTAATATCCGTCAAGCACAGCGGGTTTTGGCTCTCAAGGTTGCTGAGTAGTTGATGAACTTCTTTAACATCGCAATCCAGGCCGTCGAGTTCAGTAAATGTGGTACACGGGGAACTCAGTACTTTAAGCTGGTTATTTGCAATTACCGAAGTGAAGCGTACCACCAAATCAGATGCACCCACAGCGCTGCGGGTCAGGGACTGCCCGTACTATCCTTTTGGCACTGGTAGACGCCCAGCGGGCTTCAGGCGCCGCTTCACTTAAGCAATCATTCTCTTCGAAGTGGTATACTTTCAACAAAACTTACTGCTTATACTCTTGACTCTCTAGTACACCGCATCAAAAATGTGCATCAAAGTACTAAAGTGAAACTATCGTAGCGGCAATATAGAGAAGAAAGGTGGTCGCATTGAAGTTATTAACCCCGCGATGCCAGCCTAAAGCATGGATGGTAAAAGTACTGGCCTAAATTCTCGTTTCTTGCTTACTGTGGAACCGGGAGCCAGGATTGGGGAAGAGCAGGCTGGCTCCCACTAGAATGGACTGTTAGACCATTTATTCTTTCTGCAGCAGGTTTTAGAACAGCGTCACTTATACCACGGACCGACAATAACTGTAGTTCTCGACTTGAAGAGTGCCTTCAACGCATGTAATGGCTCCATCATATGTGCGAAATACTTGTACGGAAAACTGTCCAACAGTGATATGCAAAAATCTCACATATCCCGAATTCCAACGCAACGGGACACATGATTTGCGGTTACTTTCGGATGTCTTTCCGACAACAACTGATGCTTAACAGAGTTACCCGATTTTTCCATTTTTGTTTAAGTTCGACGTAACCTGCGTCTTGGAATGCTCCAATGCCAAATCATACGATGCAAGCAATTAACTGTTGCTCGATAGAAAACTAGTTGACCAGGACTTAGACACGTATGTTACCATCAACACAATACCAGCGAGGCGATGCCCAGAAATTCGTGTGTATCAGTACACCCTGCGCATTTGGAAATGTTCCAAGCTCTGACCGAACAGGTTAGCCATAATCCATGTGGTTGATCCCGAAGACGGATTCTCACATCAGTTGGTCCCCGTGGTCGCGGTGGAAGAGCGTACGCAGGTTTTCGCATTCTTTCGCCTCAGCGGCTTGACCAAGTTTATTTTAACTCTAATCGCTTTGTGCATGCGTGTCAGGCGGAGACATATGTTAGTGCACAGTATTCGTCCGTGTTTAACACAAGTTTAGGGAGGTTCCGTTCCTTTGTCATTAGATCCGTCAATATGACCGATTGCGCTGCCGACTAGTAGGTCCAGTTTGCTTCACCTGATTCGCCGCTGAATTAAGTAACTTGACGCAGCTGGGCGTAGTCGCTAAGATCGACGAAGAGACGGACTGGATTATACAGGTTGCAATTTTTACGATAAAGTAAGGTAATTTGCGTCTTTGCATAGCTTCCAAGCCTTTAAAGGACGCATTACCTAGAGAACAACATAAATTACCAAATCTGAACAATCTGCTGCGTTTATTTAAGGCTAAGTACTTCGCTAAGGTTGGCCTATTATCGATGCATTGGCACGTGGTCTTAGACGAAGAAACCAGTTTCCTAAGAACTTCCTCCACGTACTTCTGGAGTTCTCAATAGCTACGTTAACCGTTTGATTTCAAGCTTGAGAATAAGAATTTTCAGAAGCAATTATTACAAGCTGTTTACGATCTACGCGATGCAATATGTGCAGCAGACGATGGGCTGATTTACGGCTCAACGCACCAAATTATCGCCCCAGTCGGTAATCTTGCCAGCTTTTTGTGTAATAGCGCATAAAGCATAACGCTGGAAAGTTGAGCTCCGAAAACAAAAAGTGATTTGTTATAAGCCCTTCCTGACATCAAGAGGAATCAAAGTCGACAACAGGAAAATCAAGGCAATGCAAGAGATGCCACAACCTAAGGACTAAAAGACTATTACTCGTTAGAATGGCAAGGTGGATCACTTGAACCGAATCTTGCCATGACTTGCTGACATCCTGAGGCCCATTCCGAGGCGACGCAACATGCTGTAAAGTGGTGTTTTGAAAAATAAGGGTCGCTCTTACGACCATCAAATGGCGCATCAGCTGTGCATCAATACTCGGCTGTTACGATCCGGCTGCGCATTTGATGTTGCACTGTGACAGCAGCCACAGTGCACCAGGAGCCGTTCCAATGCAAGATGCTACAGCCTTGGATTGCCGCAGTTGGGCGCTTACAGTTGCTGATTAATGCTGTGTACCGATAGAAAAGTAGATGTTCGCTGTCGAAGATTTGTGTGCTACTCTCCCATCCCTGCACTCTACGACGGACGGTTTCGTCCTGATTTGGACGCATCAGATACTGATAGTCTAGCTGGGGGTGGAACTCAGCGCATAGAGTGCTTGGCAGCTATCGTCATGCTCACCAGATCATTGCGCTCCGCTGCTGTCCATGCGATAGAGTGATACAATGATTACATCTTTGGAAGAAGGACCGTCATGTATACTGACTATAAACTTGTCAATAGCTGATACACTGCTGCACAGTGTCCCTCGGCATCTTCAACACATGCTTATCCGGCTTCCAATTACAACATGAAAACGCAGATGTTCATGGCGGATGCCCTGTCCAGAGCTCATCTTCCGACAGTCGAACACAAACGGGAAGAAATCGAGGCAGTTAATTTGGTACAATATCTGGCGATCAAGGCAACTCGCCTGAAAAAAGCAAGGCGTCATATAGGGGAAGAGGCGACGTGGGCGGCGTTGCAAGAAGCATTTTCGAGAGCATGATCAGTTACAAAGAACAAAATTCCAAAGAAATGAACGTCACTGTTTAAATTTCTGGATGGACTGAGGACGTATGAATGTTCCTTGTTCAATGAAAATTGTGCTTTGATCCTGCCATCTCCGCAAAGAGATGCCGGAACGCGACCATCAATCTCACTTGAGTGTTAACTATAGCACCTGCAGAGCAAGGGAACTAATGTTCTGGTCTGAGCTGATGGATCGAATACAAAAGCAGGTGTTAACTTGTTCAACTTGCCAATCCCGTGAAGTTCACTAAACCAGAGAACCAAAATTTTGCGTGGTGTTCCAGATCGACCATGGCAGAAAGTGGCGGCGGACTTATCCTGTGACACAGGCAAAGGTCATGTAATCACAGTGCACTATCACAGTGACCACTTCGAGATCGATGCAATCACTGTTATCAGAACGAAAGCAGTCATCAATTAGTTTAGATGTCAGTTCACCCGAAGTATACTATAGGAGGAATTGGTATCCGACAATGGCCCAAAGTTTGCAAGTGCTGCGTTCCAGACCTTCACGCACAAGTGGGAATTTTCGCATTGACAAACTGGATCACAGCCAGACAAAAAGAAAAATAGAGGTGGCAGTCGAACAACCCAAGGGGCTGTTTTTGGAGGTTAGAGTCACTCATGAGGACCTTCATCTGATGCTGCCACAGATTCGCAACAGGCCATCATCGGACATCGGTCTAAGTCCAGTGTATCGTCATACAGCAGAAGAACAAGAACCCGAATGCCGGTGTCGGCTTTCCTTTTTGGGCCCGGTTTTGCCATCACTTAAGCAACTGAAAAGGAGTTTAGAAAAGGATGGCAGATCAAAAACAGTCTAACGACCGCGGTACCCGGACGCTTGCACAACTATCAATAAAAGAGGAGATGTAGAATCAACCAATACCGAGTGTCCAAGAGCGATGGAGGAAGTGTTTAGTGACGGCGAGGTTCGGAGAAAGGATGAAAATCTGAAGGAATCGACTGCAGTTAAGGCGACACTGGGAGCGAAAATGCGAATATGAGGCAAGGCACTCAATGGCTTACGGTGAAGGCACAATGACAGGGGGAGTACAGACCGAGCGGAGCGAAATAGCGTGCTGAGTCAACAAGAATATTAATGAGCCTGAGCAGGAAAAAAAAGAGGATGATTGAAATATGCTATTAGAAAAAGGACATGGATTTACATGAGGCAGCCAGAGGGTAGGTTGCCGCGAGCTAACAGAGCAGATGATAAGACGTCTAAGCATGTCTCGCTCTACACTGATTGGCCAATATTTGGCTGCGCTGGAGTGAGGTTGACTGAAGCAAATGGAAAAGCTGATGAATGCAGAAACCTGGTTAATTATGAAAGCGACATAGTCATATACATTAGGGTTTCTGCAGGCTAGTCGTGCTGTCAAGTTTGATAAGATTGCTTTGTCGAATCAACCTTTAATCTCAGAAAGACCGAGTTCTGCGAAAAGGTATGCCTGCAGCGAAGGACGATTTACGGAACAGAACTCATGATCGGGCCTAGCGCGGAAGTGAAGTAGTACCTTAGCCGCTTCGATTGATTTGCTAGGGTTGTAAATTTTCACTGTTCAATAGGGTTGCGCTGTTCGCGTTTCAATGTTTTATAGGAAAAGGCATTTCCTAGTGGCACTGCACGCATATTGCTATTTTCTCTTTTCCACTTCTTCACATCCGTGTGTTGCTCTGACGATCACTACCTGTATCTTCACGGCTTTCTGGCTTTCGATGTACGGCCGAATTCCACAATTTATCAAACGGCTCAAATAACTGCAAAACATGACCCTACGTAAAATGCCAACTATACGTGCAAGCTCAAGCGCCAAAAGGCAGCTCACATATAATTGGAGGGTCAAGTTTTGGATTACACGTTGTGTGATTGGATTGTGACACGCAACCTCAATTTAATGGACTGTGATTCACATTGAAATGAACCTTAGTCACCGCGATCACTGGGACCGTATTCAAAGTAGATAGAAATTGGGTATTGCCCACCCAGTGTTTTCGGGTGGGCAATACCCAATTTCTAGCTCACATATAAGTTTAGGCTACCAAAAATTAAAAAGTCAAACGAGTCGAGGAACTGGGCGACTGTTCATAATGCTTTGCTTTGTGGTGAAGTAATTGGATATATCATGCTTTGGTTAGTCTACACGAGTATGCTGTATCCAAACGCTGTCGGTCAACCTAGTGGTTGGGCTGACACAGGTCAGATGAATGTTCCACATAGGGTAGATTACTGCAGAATAAATCTAATACGGCGGACACACACGGCAGTTGGGCAAACCAATGCGATCTCCGAAATTAGCCAGCGAATATCCACCAACTTTTCAGAGATTGAAAAATGCACCAAAAGAAAAATATTGTTGCGACGGATGTGACCGGCCAAGACCGAAGTCGCGTCATCCGCACTAGGGATCTAACTTCCGGTACGGAGTTCCTAGTAGATACCGGAGCCAAAGTCCTCGTTATACCCCGTATCCCTGATGAGGTAGTCTTACCCTCGCCGACCAGACTATGTGTCGTCAATCTCACACCAATCAAACTTTTGAGAGAAGGTTCTGACGCTCAGACTAGACCTCCGGCGAACCTATCACTGGGGTTTCATAGTAGCAACCGAGCTTTTTGCTACCATATGCATCAACTTTGTCTAACATTTAACCTTAACGTTAAGACTAGAGGGCGTCAGCCTATCGACTCTCGTACACAACCCAGTGTTATCGAGACCAGGGCCAGCGTGGAAATTGTCAACCACATTCGTGTCCCCCCTCAAGTTTCACAACGTCGCATAGACCTCTTCAACCAGTATCCTAATCTTGTTCGCATTCAGAACGATTTACCTCTCGTAACGTATAACATCATGCACCACATCTGCACTAAGAGTCCAGTCGTTTCGACCGCTCTCGAAGACTAGTCCCGGACAAAATAAAGGACATTAAGGCGGAATTGGAATAAATGCTCCAACTTGGAATAATCCACCCGTCCAGAAGTCCATGGTACCAAGGAATTCAGGCCATTAGCGTCCCTGTCGTGACTACCGTATAAGTACACCAATTCACCTATGCACGACTTAACATCAGCTTTAGCCGATAAGGCACTCTTTAGCAAAATAGACATAGTTCGTGCCCCCATCAAATACCAATAACACCAGTTGATATCGCTAAAACGACAGTCAGTACACCATTTGGTCTATTTACACTTCTCAGCATGCCTTTTAGCCTCAGTAACCCTGCTCAACCTTTTTGGTACTTCATTCATGAGGTAAAACGCAGAGGAGGCGGGACCTTAACGTGGTGAGACGGTTTGTGTGCCTCAGTGATCCGTTGAGCTATGCTTCGGTTTCCTCCTCCTTGGCGGTAAATTGAAGTTTCTGATCGTTCTTTTTTTAGGTTTTGCTTGCATAAGACAGATTCGGGACAGTGTTTACAAGCGTCGTGCAAAAAATTTGACTTTTGTCAAATTTCGCTTGATCCAACTAATTTCAGATCATCGTTTTCCCCGGATTACGTCGTACCCGTTTGCTGGTACTTACCGAACGTCCTCCATGTTTTCCGGGTTCAGCCTCTGGCTATTTTCCCGGTATTTGTGTTTTGTAGTCCGTTTTGCACCTTGTTTAAACCCGTAACTGTTCCTGTCGACTGCCCTGCAGGTAACAGCTCGTTAGTTTTACGTTTTGTTACTTGTTTCACACTCCATGAAAGCGTCATATCGGATTCACTGAATACCGGCGCCAATGTGTCTTCGGCTGCGTTGATCAGCGAATCTAATGCTGCATGCGGCAGCGTGCGCTGCTCAAAGTGCGTTACGGACGAGTCTGGTGGCATACAGTGCTGTATGCAACTGCTGGTACCATGGGACCTGTACCGATTTGAGCCCTGATCAGTACGCAATGCTTTCGACTGGCGATACCATGCTGTTCTGTTTTCTGGGATGCGGTCGCCGTCGATCTACGCGTCATGAGGTCAATGAGCAGACGTCGAGCAACGTCGGGCTGGGGAACCAGCAGTTGTGATCTTTCCTCACATCTCTTGATCGTAACGTGGTTACTGATGAGGAAAATGGGCGTCTATTAATGTCGGCTCATTGGAGAAAGACGCGCAACTGACCTTAATTGCTGTTGATGAAAATCCGACTGAGGTGATGGCTACCGTGTCGTGTGCCACAGCGGTCCAGAATTCCTCTAAAGCAGCCTCTGATGTCGTAATGGAAACCATCCAAAGCGAGACCGAACTTGTAGCCCCTGTGCCCAATAAAAGCAAGAGGAAGAGGGCTAAGGAAGTCCGTAAGGCTCCCTCAAAACCTGAATGTGCTGAAAACATTAAGGTATTGGAGGTGGAGCACAAAGCTCCAACTCTAATCACTCCAGTTCCATTGGCGAAGCGACACGCCATATTGACTTCGGCCACACCCGTAAAGCTTGCAAAGAGTATACCGGTGAGGGAGTTTGAGGTAGAACACATGGGCTCAACATCAATTACTCCAGCTCACTTGGCGAAGAAACTCGCAAAGTCACCTGCCAAACCGGTCGAAACTGAGGTAGAGTCGAAGACTCGTGGAGTGAATATGCCTCTTAGAGGTGATTCTTTTACTGATAGTAGCGTTAACTTTCGTAAGGGTGCTGAATCCGCGGCTGCTCTTCCAAAGGAACGCATGCTGGATGACCTCCAGTAGTTCAAGCTCTGCGTCAATAAGATGCTTCCACCTGGTTTCCCTGGTGTCACTACCAGGAAACTAACCAGATTGGGGAACGTTCCTGTAGACAGGCCAAATCCACGACCCCGACTACTTCATGTAGTCCTCTCGACCCCGGAGAAACGCAAAGCGTTAATGTGAGTTGCACTTAAACTCAAGGGTAGCAATGTCAGCGTTCAGCTGGACCTCCCACTGGCAGATAGACTGAAGTTAAAGGAAGCCACCAGAAGTCTCAAAAGCAGGCGGGCGGCTGGGGAGCAAGGCCTCCGTCTTGTGGGTTTTCAGGTGGTCAGCCGGAAATCGAATTCTGCGCTGCCAGAACCCCTGGTAGCGTACGATCCAGGGCTGATCGTGCCGAATACCTTCGGGTAGTGCTTAATAATATGCGTAGCCTAATGAACAAGGTACACGAGGTGGATATACATGTAGACAAATCTCATCCCGACATACTTGCTAGCACTGAAACGTGACTGTCCCCGGATATCACAGACGGTGAAGCATGTTTTCCTGGCTAGGCATTGCTTAGATGTGATCGCTCCGTTGGCCGCCAAGGTGAGAGCGCCGCTCTTTATGTGAGTTGTAACCTTGATGTGTTGAGGACCTGTGTGCTACAGTCGCCGGATCAGACTGTT